TAGCAAAGGGCAAGCTCCCCCCCCCCCACACACACCCGTCGCCGAACTACGCCGCCTTCCTTCTTGTTTCCTTGAGAACTTTCAAAAACTTTGTGAAACAGTCAACTAACCCCCATTAAAGTTCACCCATCGTGGAGTAAAGTTTGAACAGAATCTCAACAAGAACTTTGCTTCCTCTTCCCACATGCCCTTAGGCAGCTGACCTAAAGCAAATAATTTTCCTCCACTCATTGATATGAGGTGAGACCTTATCGCTGTGTCGATCAGGATCGTCAACAAGGAGTCGCATAAAAGAAAGCATCAAAAGGATGTTTGTACTGGAAAATTTTTTCAGGGTCGTGATGTCGTTACTGGTGCTGCATGTCGGCTGACCGTTCTTCCGGACATTGGCACAAACAGGACCAAACTGGCATTCGTCTCTCCACTACTGTGAGTTGAAAAGTAGAGGCTTCGTTCTTTTGTTAAATGGAGATCCTCCGACACTTAGTTATACGAAGCTGAACAGAATTTTCAAGTAAGGGACGAGGTCTACCAATATCGCACTCCACAGAAGTTCTTGCTCTAATAGGAAAGCGACAGTCGTAGGCCTGGAAATCCCCGCCGGGAGATGTATTTGGTCACTGGAGGAAGCGGGGTTGTCTTTGACCTGACAACATTTTTTACATAGCCAATTTTTCGCGTTTTGTGGGCGCTCCACATCATCCGGGAGGCTCCACCCCGATTGAGGGGTCGTAGTTTGCAAAAAATTTTCTTCATAGCGAGCACCCGTTGATCGTGTAAAATAATCATGGATACACCATTGGTCAGGAGATACGAGTTGTGGAAACACTCATAATTCCACGCCAAAACAGTTAGGTCCTAGTGTGATGTCACACAATGTGAACTTAAAGGCAGTTGGCACGATAAATCCTCCAAGACGAGCAGGACTAATACGCCTGGCAGGACGGAATTCCGCGACCCTGAGCAGGCGCTGCATAATGCCTTTTCCAGGGAAGGTGCCCTTATAAGGGCGCCTATCCAAGGCCATAATTTCCTGTCCAAACGCCCGCCTTGCCCGCCGCGCACAACAAAAATGGACACTGTTCAGAACGCTCTAATATTGATTCATTTGCCCCAGGGCAAATTATGAGCGAGGATGAAAATGAGGCGGTCGTGATGCTACATGGATATAGTGAGTAAACGTATGCCAGCCGTACTTCGGCACCGCAGCCTATTGTAAGATGCCTTCGGTAAAACTCGTCCCAAAATTGATTACTAACACAGTGAGAACGGAGTCTCTTTTTTCGCAGGATTTTGACCGTTTCACTCCGTTCTTTCGCCATTTCCCCACTATATAGCGCCCTACTATTAGGTTGTCCGGAAAGTTCTCAGCGTTTTGGGTGTTTCACTTTAAACGATCGTAACTTTTTTAATACTCATCGGATTTAATCGAAATAGGCACCATTCGAATCAGCACACTTTTGCCAATGTGACAGCAGTCGAGAAATCCCATCAAAGTAAAAAACTGGGTGGTCGAAAATTCACGAAATCCACGAAGGCTTTTTTGCCTGGTCCTGATTGATGAAGTATTTTCCAGCAAGGGAGTTCTGAATGTTAGAAAGGGGATGAGTCGGTTGGCGGAACAGGGTCGGAAGAATATGGGTCGGTTAATGGTAATGAACTTCAAACCCGGGTGGTGGCCGCCAATTTCGTGTCAAGTTTATGATATACATTTGTGAATACGTGTGATCGGGCGTTGTCATGCAAAGAATCGGTACGCGGCTTTCTTGTTGTCCTAAGTGTTGCTGGCATTCTGGCAAATTTTCGTGTGACAAGGTGCGTGCGATTTCTCACGGACAGAGTAAGGGGTGCGCTGTGATGGGTTTTGGGCTCTGGTGATAAATGAGTGATAGGAAGTGATCACGACTAGCGTATGACCCAACCGTACCGAAAACCGTTAGCATTGTTTATCGTGAGGCGGTCGTTTTGAAATTGACCTCGGTGTGTTCGTCGAGAATTCAGAGCTCCAACCTGGTCGCGGAACGTCTCGCTGTTATCATGACAATGTCGCACTTGTCATTCACAGGTGACGACTTCGTTTCTAAAAACGTGTCGTTTCTGTTGCGGCGAGAAGGCAATGCAGCAGGAACTGCTCCGAGACGCGTGCCGATGTCCGTGCGCCTGGGTCACCCCTGATTGTGGGCTACCAATGGTCGAGGTTTTTTCACCTTCCCAATAGCGTTGGCAGATCCGAATTCTGCAAACATGAATTGCCAAGGCCTAGCTCTGGGTACTGGCTATGCGGGTCGTGTCGAACTGTTTGGGATGGGTCAACCTTCAAAATCCCCCTAAAATCCTCGTCAGATATTGCTTTAGGTCGACCGCTATGAGGTTCATCTTCAAGGCTGAAATCTCCAGAACGAAATTTGTTGAACCATTGCCGCACAGTGCTTTCTCTAGCACTATTGGGCCCCCACACCTGGTTAATTTGTTGAGCTGTTTCGATTGCGGATTGCCCCAATTTATAGTCGAAGAAAAAAATCGTCCGAAGCAGGGCACAGCATTCGATGGGATTTTGGTCAGGGCCTGTACGACCCCCCCCCCCTTTTTGGGGGTTCGGGTACGACCCCCCCTTTTTAGTGTTTGACGTCACATAATTCCTGAAATTAGATATAAACAATTAGATATAAAAAATAGATATAAACAGTCCTACCTAAATTGACTTGATTTACTTATGTACAAGCGTTTGTAATCAAAAACACGATGAGTAGCAATACACCAGCGATAAAGCTCGAGTTATGATGAACTGAGTGATTGAAACGAAAAATACCCAAAAAGCGGTATAACAGAAAAAGAAAACAAAAAAGAAATACGCCTAAAATGCATTAACCCCGAGATGTGGAGTACGGTAGCAGAGATGCGTACGTAATTGCAGCCGTGACTGGAGCAAACGGCTATTAGCCATGGAGCGAGAATTTTCAGCAAAGTAGGGTGTCTTTGAAGGACCATAACTTCCTCAAAAGCGGACCTGTGGGGAAGAGGAGAGCGTATTGGTAAATTAGAAGGTTTGATCTTCCTGAAAGTACTAAAATGTTCATGAAGGTCGCGAAAATCACAGAGAAATCTGCCATAGGGATTCGTTGGGGAGTGAAGGGTTGAAGTTCAAGTTGAACAGGTTTGAATCAATATATTTTTTTTGTAACAACTCAAAATCACAAATCTTAGAACGGATTCACGAGCTTCTGCAGGAGTTATTTTCTCTTTCTAAAAACCTATTGAACTGTTCCTGAAGCTCTCGGGATTCATGAGATCTCGCGATGGGGATTTCTTAGGGAGCACTCCCAGCCGCGCGAAAAACCCGTTTCCTGTGCACCGTTTCAAGTGAGCGTGTTCGAAATAGCGCGAGGAACTGGACACTGTTAAGAACGGTATCCTGTGGTGGAGGCAGGAGCAGGGATATGGTTCGTTTAGCGCCGGATGCCACCTGTGACTGTGTGTATGCGCCGCGCACTGAGGTCCGCCGCAGAAATGATGGGATGGTGCAACTTGTGCATAATGTGTGTCCACGCGCGCAAATGTGTCTGTAGGATTCAGGGAGGTCCATGGCGAACCTGTGCACTTGTCTACAGTGTTTTCCCTTGCGGATGATGTAGCGTGTCCGTGTCGACGCCGCCAGATCTGTGCTCCGATAGTTGCTGATTCCGATAAAGGAGACCAAGTGCTGGAAAACGTCTGGTACGAACGATATGGTAGTCCTGTCGTTTGTCGAAAAAAACAGGTTGGCTCAGCGCCAAGCGTGATCGCGGACACGCCCCATCATCCGCAGCAAACCAGAGTATGAGTTGTAGTGTTTAATCACTTACGAGATGTTGTCGACTTATTAATAATTCCAATTATTTCGGATTAGTTTGATGGATGAAAGTTTTGTACTCATTTTTTACATATCCGAGTTCTCTACGAAGCAAGTTCCGCTACACAGGATTCAGCACACTGACACCTTTGCGCTGCTCGATACTGGCTACCGCACTCATTACGACCCCCCCCTCTCCTGGCGGCCAAATACGACCCCCCCCATGGGGATTCCCCAACCAATGCTGTGCCCTGGTCCGAAGTGCTCTTTTCACATGCTTGAAAAAAATCTTGAAAAAAGGGATTCTACAGCGAGTGAAATCGGCCAATTATAATACTGCAGATAGCGGCAAGAATTCCGCTATAACAGGATGTGTCTACCTGAGAAGCAAGCAGAATGAGTTTTAATAGCAAGTGGAATGCTAACAAAGAATAGTGCACAAAGCGCTTGCAAGCTTTCCGGTACAACATAATTAGCATTTAGGCTGAGTCCAATCATCGTGCTCAACTCGCCTTATAAGGGCCATATCTTGCCGCAACTGGGAAATTCCCAACCCACCCTTACTAAGCGCGATTTGTGGATTGCAAGTCATGGCTTGAGAGGTCTACAAGTAACAGGGTCGTACCAGCAGCTCACTAGTGAATGAAGTGATTAGAAGCAACGCCATGGATTTTCGAGAGATTTGCTAAGTATCTGGTTCGCGTTGCCATACTCGCTGTAGCATAATTATCAGGCTTCATTTCAAATATGCACCTGTTACTCCTCTAAATCCTATTTTTACTTAGCGCTGTGAAAATATCGTCTTACAGCCTGGCTACTCGATTGCAAGAGATTGGTGTGAACAGATATAGGGACGGCTGGAACCTGACAGACCATCTTCTTGAATACGGTAGGTTAATCAAGACTAACGATTAGAACGTTTATAAACGGCTACACTACACACATCATGCGTCATGGGCGTAACATACCACCATTGCGGCTTCCTTCCTCAATGCGCCCCTCTCGTCTTTGAACGTCCTAGAAAGGAGAGCAGAATTCAGAATCAACTCTTGCCGACGATGATAAAGAGTGTGTTGTTTGGAACTCATGATCACTTGTTTCAGAGGGAATGGAAGAAAAATCTCGTCCTATCGACATCCATATGTGGTTCGATTCGGTAGGAGCGGCGTCAGAGGCATGTCCCAGAGGCAACGCCCTGGTAGTTACGGCCAGATGCGCTCCGAGCAAAAAGGAACCCGAGGTATGTAAATCGTAATTATTTGGTAATTGTGAAGGTGAAGCTGGGGCCGTTTCAGATACGGTTGCCACATACTTGTCCTGATGGAACCTGCGATGGTTGTCTCTTCCACGCTATTGTTGAATCGTTCAGGTTAGTCTTCGTTTTAACTTCCTTCCCTTCATGTGATAGGAAATCATTCCGAATCTCATAATTCCAATCAGGCATGTCCTATTTGTGGACCTGGCGACTACGAAATGATTCGAGGTGAATGCACCGATGGCCAACAGACCATTCATCACATACCCGACAAGTGAGCGATTTCATATTAATTTGAGCTCGCTACGATTAATGGCATTTGGCACCATAATTTGGTAGTATGTCTGAAATGGTAGCAGGGGTGCTAATAGTGGGAAAATGGCGAAAAAGCGAAGTGAAACGGTCAAAAACCTGCAAAAAGCCTTTGTTCTACACGACTCAGAAGCAATTTCGGACGAGTTTCCCGTTGGCATCGTGCCAGGCAACCACTACGGTAGATACGGCTGCATGTATATACCCATATATCCATGCAGCACCGCAGCCGCTTCATATCAATCCCTTCGCTTCATACTGTACTTCGCAAATGAAGCGATACGAGCATCAGCATCGGTCGGACATTTGTGGGCGGGCGGGCGCGGTGGGCGTCTGGTCGGTATGTTGCAGCTTGATAGGGCAATGTAAGGGTGTGATCCTTGGAAAAGGCCCCACGCAGCGCTTGAGACTTTCCCAGAAACATGAGCCAGTTGTTGAGCTGTGCAGACGCATGGTTCTTCAGGCAAAAGTACCTTTATCACCTGGCTTCTCGTTCACGAATCACTCGAGTGAATGCTAGGAACCTTCATTGTTCCCACTGCAAGTTGAGGTAATCTGCTGGACTCTTCTCGCTCCAAAAACGATAAACCCACCATTTCTGAACGTGTCGCTTTCCTAAAGGCTCACCCCGCGTGCCGGTGGGTTGTGCGGCACGAAGGCTGTGAGAAAACGGTAAGTAATGCAAAAGCCATGAATAAAAGCAGAAAACCAAAAACTTCCCATATAGCACCTCATGCTGAACTGAGCCTGTAGTACATAATGCGAAGCGAGGGCGAAGTCGGACGAGTCCCCACATATTGGTATCAGCCCTTCCCCCTTATCACCTCATTCTCAACTTCCGAAATGGAGCACGCTAGTAGCAAAACAACTGCACCACCAGGAAGCCATTGCGAATGAAAGTTGAGCATTGCAGTGGCCATAGGCGGGGCGGTGCCTTTGTTGCGGAAGGGTCGTGCTTTCTTTATTTCTTTTGAAAGTGGTACATTCTCCATGCATCCGAACAGGACTACTTCAAAAGAAGGCGTCTCGAAATTGAATGGAAGCGTAGCTAGCTTCTAACTACGACACCTCTCTCCAACTCGTGAATGCCGATTTCGTGATAGTTCCCATAAGAGGA